AGGCCACGTCCCACATACAGCAACTAGAAGGATGTGCAGCTATGACATACAACTATCTACTGGGGCTTTGGGGGAAAAAATAAATAAATAAACATTTAAAAAAAAAAAAAAAAGAGAGAAATGAAAAATATCTTTAATGGGTGTATTAGCAGAATGGACATGGCTAAGGATAGAATCTCTTGAAGCTATATCATTAGGAACCTCCAAATCTAAAAAGCAGAGAACACAGAAAAAAAACAGAAGAGAATTTCGAATAACCGTGGGACAACTACAAAAGGTGTAACATAAACATAAGGGAAATAACAGAGGGAGAAAAAAAGAGAGAAAGTAACAGAAGAAATACTTGAAACAATAATGACTGAAAATTTCCCCAAATTAACATCAGACACCATACCACAGTTCCAGGAAGCTCAGAGACACCAAGGAGGAAAAATGCCAGAAAAACTCAACCTAGGCATGTCATAATTCAAATTAAAGAATAAAGAAAAAATTCTGAAAGAAGCCAGAGTTAAAAAAAAAAAAAAAAAAAAAAAACCTTACCTATAGAGGAACAAAGACAGGAGTTACATCTGACTCCTCCTCAGAAACCATGGCAAGCAAGAAGAGAATGAAGTGAAATATTTTAAAAGTTGAGAGAAAAAAACACTAACCTAGAATTCTGTACCCTGTGAAATTATCATTCAAAAATGAAAGAAAAATAAAGACTTTCTTGACAAACAAAACTTAAGGGAATTTGTTGCCAGTAGATCTGCCTTGCAAGAAATGTTTAAAAGAAGTTTTTTAGAGAAAAGGAAAATAATACAGATCAGAAACTTTGATCTACATAAAGGAAGAGCATCAAAGAAGAAATAAGTGAAGGTTAAATAAAAATTTTTCTTTTTCTTATTCTTAATTGATCTAACAGAAAGCAGTTTGTTCAAAATAATAACAGCAACAATGTATTTGATTATGTATGCCTGTGCGAGTGTCTGTAAACATGCTTATGTATGCTTACATAGAAGCGAAATGAATGACAACAAAGACAGACTCAAGGGACTGGAAGGGGGGATCAGGATTTTCTTATTATAAGACAATCACACAACCATGAAGTAGTACAGCATTCTTTGAAAGTGGACTTGGCTTAACTGTAAATATATATTGCAAATTCTAGGGCAACCACTAATAAAAGTAAAAAAAAGAAGTATAACCAATATGCTAAGGAGAGAAAATGGAATTATATAAAATGCTCAATTAAAACCACAAAAGGCAGAAAAAGCGTGAAAGACAAAAGAGGAACAAAGAACAAGGGAAAAAAATAGAAAATAATAGTAGTGAATATGTTAGATATTACTCCAACTATATCAATAACAACAGTGACAACATCAAATGCTGACAAGGATGTGGAGCAACAGGAACTCTCAGGCATTGCTGATGGGAATGCAAAATGTCAGCGCCACTTAAGAAGACTATTTGGCAGTTTCTTACAAAACTAAACATACTCTAATCATATGATCCAGCAACTGCGCACCTTGGTATTTACGTAACCAAAGAAGTTGAAAACTTATGTCCATCCAAAAACCTGCACACAGAGTTGATTACAGCAGCTGCATGGATAATTGTCAAAACTGACAAGCAACCAAGATGTCCTTCAGTAGGTGAACGGATAAATAAACTGTGGTACATTCAGACAATGGAATATTATTCACCACTCAAAGAAACGAGCTATCAAGCCATGAAAAGACATGTAGGAAGTTTATGTGCATATTACTAAGTGAAAGAACCCCAATCTGAAATGGTTACATTCTGTATGATTCCAACTATATGACATTCTGAAAAAGGCAAAACTATGGAGACAGTAAAAAGATCAGCAGTTGCCAGGGTTAAGGAGGAAAGGATGAATTGGCAGAGCACAAAGGATTTTTAGGGCAGTGAAAATACTCTCGATAATACTATATGCTACACCATATGATAACTATAATGGTAGATACATGTCATTATACATTTGTCTAAAACCAGAGACTGTATAACCCTAAGACGAGCCCTAATGTAAACTATGGACTCTGGGTGATAACCACGAGTCAACGTAGGTTCATCAATTGTAACGAATGTACCACTCTGGTGGGGGATGCTTATAGTGGGGGGTTATGCGTGTGTGGGGACAGGGAGTACATGGCAAATATCTGACCTTCCTCTCAATTTTGCTGTGAACTAACACTGCTTAAAAAAAATCAAGTCTAGGGGCTGGCCCCGTGGCATAGTGGCTAAGTTTGGCAGGTTCCGCTTTGGCGGCCTGGGTTCACAGGTTTGGATCCCAGGAGCAGACCTACACCACTCGTCAGCCACAGTGTTGCGGCAACCCACATACAAAGCAGAGGAAGACTGGCACAGATGTTAGCTCAGGGCTAATCGTCCTCAAGCAAAAAAAATAAACGAGGATGACTGGCAGCTGATGTTAGCTCAGGGCTAATCCTCCTCAGCAAAAAAAAAATAATCAAGTCTTTAAAAATTTATATAGAGAGACACAATACTAAGCTACAGATAGCTCTACCAAATAATAACAACACTACTACTATTTCTAAAAGACCTGTACTGATTTTTTCCCTATTTACATTAATTACTCCCACTTGCCTGAGAAATTGGATTGACATCTCTAATTAAAGGCAAGTACAATATTCAGTTTTAAGGACTTGAATCAGCTCAAATCATAGGTACCCAACAGAATAGCAAGAATAGCCCATCTTGAAGTGATGGGGGAGGGGTTTAAAGAAAAGAAAATTACTTTGTTTTCATTTAGATATTTCATATGACTTAAGAAAACTTCTCATCCCAATTGATTTGAATTACTTGCAAAGGGCACCTTAGCAAAGAACTGATTAAAAAGGAGACTACAGACAAGTGATATGCTGTCTCCTCCTCTTCTGGCCTAGGACAGGGCCCAAGGCTGCTGACTCCCTCTCATTCCACCTTCTGATAGTCACATAAGAGCCCAGTCAACAAACCTGTCACAACTAACATAGTCAACAATTTAATGGTTAATCATTAAGGGTAATATATTTGATCTACATCACTAATACCCTGAATCTATGGCAACAATGCGTCCTCTCTCCCCATCTAATAATCTTCATTCCCCTCCCCCACCCGCAAAATACTAAAGGAGGTCTGTGCGATCACTACAATCTATGCAGCTTCCTATGCCTTAACTCTAAAAGTGAAGATCCCGGATGGCAGGGATAGGAGGAGGCGGTGCCAGGGCACACTTTGTTTTGGGAAGCCTGTCCATATGCCAAGCTCTAGGTCCTCACTCCTGAAGCATCCTTTTAGAGGGAAGCCCTCTATTAAGGAAAGACCTGCTGCAACAACACTTGCCAGTGGCTGTACACACACACTCTACACACTCCTTCTCACCCTAACAGCCACTCTCCCTCTCCACCCTATTTACCACCTCAGATTTTGGTGCTCTTTTTCTTCCTACCTTCATGCTAGACTTTTGGGACCACAAGTGACTCAAAACCAGCTGAGAATTCCAGCCCTAATACAAATATTAGTGGCAACTCCAATCCAGAAGATTACCCACTGCCACCTTTGAGAAACAGGTAGCATAAGTCCCCAAACTAGTATTACTAGCCACCAATATCTTTAAAAAGAAAAAAAAAGCCCGCGCAATTAAGAAAAATAGGTATCACCCGCAAATAAACTTTATCGTGCACTTTCAGCCTTACAACAAGGTCAGGATGTTACCACCAAAGGAAAGGCTCCAGGGCTGCATTTTTTTTTTTATTGAGGTATAAGTGACATACAATCAAGGCTGCTTTTTAAAGGGACTTGCAAAGGGGTAGATTTAACGAGGTCAAGATCTGGCTTTCAGGCTGAGAAGCTAGACCTCATCCACACGCAGAGAACAGATCCATCTTTCTGGGGTGGCATCATGTTAACTAAACTCACAAGACGGACCTGTAAAACCACAACGCCCAGAAACCACGATCACAGGAACCACACCACTCTCATCCTGTCAGCATACGCAGGACCACATAAACAGCCAAATCATCATCGGGATGTTGCTTGGGAAGCATGCAATGCAATCAAGAGAGGTTTGATGGACTGAACATTTAATGGCATCAAGCTTACCCAGCCTGATGAATCCACCTCACAACAGGAATGATCTTGCCCACACCATACTACCAGATCAATCCACAGCACAAAGCCCTCTCCCCTGGACAAAAGCTAAATGACTAAACCATCTGCTCTGAATGACTCGATCTTTCTTTAGCTAAAAACACCAATCAGGTTACCATCTAGGCTTGCCCAGGGAGATATTTTTTTTTCAGGTGACCACAAATTTTTCCTCTATTGCATTATGCTTTGGATCTATAATTTAGCTCTCAAGAAAGTAATTATATTGCTCTCATTTTCAAATTCTAGAGAGTATTTTCATTCAATACGTATTTAATGCATATTTACTGTGTGCCAGGCTACTGGAGGCACTAGATCTTCCACAATGAAATACAACAAAATCTCTGTTCTCATGGAGTTTATATTCTAATGAACTTCATGTAATCCCTAAATAGTGACAATAAAATTTATAACCAGTAAGTGCTCAAAAATTATATAAAGATACTGGGGTAATAAAGTTATTTGGAGTAGGGCCATTATCATCATCGTATAAGCATTCAATTAGGTATAAGAGGGAAAAAAAGTACATTTTGATACTGATGTAGGGAAACTAGTACATATTTTTAAATGATTTTTACTACTTACTAAGTTCAACAATGGGCAATTTAATTTAGCCTCTTTCAGCCTCAATTTTCTCATTTATAATACGATAACTAAATGAGATAATGTATGTACAGAACCAAGAAAATATCTTAAGTCAAATAAATGTAAAGACCAAACTACTGATTCTCACATAGTAATCCAGTGACTGCAATGGGTGAATTTACAGTTCAAGTCTAGTCATATACTTGACTGGATGCTGGATAAACATATACATATATACACATATATATGTGTATGTAATAAAGGACATTTTCGAGACAATCAGAAAATGTGATATGGACTGTATGTTGGATAACTTGAGTCAATGTTGATTTTCTCAGATGTGGTAATGAGGATGCGGTTGGGTAAGGAATATCCTTATTCTTAAAAGATGCATGCTGAAATACTGAAGGGTAAACCATCAAGATGTCTAAAAATAAGTGGCAAAGAGGAGTTGTTGATGTATGTAGAGATGAAGCACATGTGGCAAAATGTTAACAACTGCTCAACCAAATGAAGGAGATATTGGGGTCTGTGCACTGATTTTTTCTAACTTTTCTGTGGGTTTGAAAATTTGCAAATAAAAAAATGTGGTCTCAAGACCACAGGAAGTGCCTCAGAAATAAAAAGAAACTCGTAACACGATGTCAACGTAATCCCTTAAAGTTGAACAAAAATATGAAATCATAACTTCTTAAAAATATGAGCAAAGACCTTATCAACATTTAAGGCTAACTAATACAACTTCAAATGTTTCTACTTTAAAGCTCAGTAAAAAGGTATAAAAACCAGTGAGATGTTCCAAGTGTCTTAATGTCTAAAACCAAAGTTTTTTTTTCCCTAGCTTCCACAGAAAACATAACAGAGGAAAAGCATCCCAGAACTGTAAGGAAATGATTCAGCAAGTGCACTCCTGGGTTTACACAGGAAAGGATGCCAGCTCACCAATGCGAACAGTCATGCAGGCTGTCATGCAGGGCTTTCCGAAGCACCGAGTCCTTATCATAAATGCCCCAGGTAGCTTGTAGTACTGAATCAAGTAAGCAGTCTCCTGCAGTCCGGTTCCAAAGTGCATACAGTCGACTGTCCAAACGTGTAGCCAATTCCAACGACCAGTTTATAATCGGAGATTCTTCTTCTAACTCTATGTGAAGAATTTAAATAACATGTTCATTTTCATGCCTATGCAATTAAGGAGTATTCAATGGAGGAAAGAATCTATTCTCTAGATGTTAATAGGTTTATGTGTAATTTACTAATAAACATCTAAATAAATTTGATAAATTGAAATATAAACATTTTGAGTAGGTGAAACGTCTTGTGGCTCTAGAATAATTTACTCAATTTTTAAATTGTTTTCCAATTTATTTTCTATAAATGTTTAATATGGAACTATACTCATTCTAGAACAGGAAGTAGAAAATCAGTGTTTAAAAACTTTTATACCTTTATTTGTTCACTCTATCATAGTTAAGAGCTGTGAATGAGCATTTTTTAAATTTTTTTCCAGTTTTATTGAGGTATAATTGACAAAATGAGCATTTTTAACAGCACAACATGACACTATTCTTAAGGACTAAAGTAAAAATACAAGTTGACCATACACTAAACTACTCAAAACCTTACAAAACAAAGCAAAAAGTTTACTGAAATTGATGAAAGGTAAATTACACTCATTAATTCCACACCTACCTTTTTGAACATCTCTGTCAAGCACCTCATCAAATAATTTTTCTTGGACTGTTGGAGGTAAGTCTTCAATATCTACAGAGAAAAAGCAGATTTAAAAGATCTTCTTACATCTCATAACTTAATAAATTTGATACCAGCATCTAATAGTGACTACCTCTAAAATAACTCCCTTTCCACTGAAGGCTGTCAAGTAGATTCTTTTAAGAAATGTGCATGTACAACGTGTGCATGTGATGTAGAATATTTCCTTTATGTACTTCATTATCAAAACTGTGCTTTAGGGCCAGCCCCAGTGGCCTAATGGTTAAGTTCGGCACACTCCGCTTCAGGGGCCCAGGTTCACTTCCCAGGCGCGGACCTGGACCACTCCTCTGTCAGTGGCCACGCTGTGGTGGTGGCTCACATACCAAAAAAAAAAAAAAAGAGGAAGACTGGCAGTGGATGTTAGCTCAGGGCGAATCTTCCTCAGCAAAAACAAAAGCAACTGTGCTCTAAAAATAATAAAAAGAATAACACTTGGACCAATAATTACATATAGCTATCATCAAAAAGATAAGAGATAACAAGTGTTGGTGAGGATGTGAAGAAAAGGGAATCCTTGTGCACTGTCGGTGAGAATGTAAACTGGTGCAGCCACTATGGAATAAAGCATGGAAGTTCCTCAAAAAATTAAAAATAGAACTATCATACGATCCAGCAATCCCACTTCTTGGTATATATCCAAAGAAAATGAAAACAAGGTATTGAGGAGTTATCTGCACTCCCATGTTTGTTGTAGCATTACTCACAACAGCCAAGATATGGAAACAACCTAAGTGTCTGTCAATGGATGAATGGATAAAGAAGATGTGGTATATATATACAATGGAACATTATTCAGCAAAGAGAAAGGAAATTTTGTCATCTGCAACAACACGGGTGGACCGTGAGGGCATTATGTCAAGTGAAATAACCCAGACAGACAAAGACCTATACTGCATGATACCACTTGTATGTGAAATATTAAAATAAAAGTCAAACTCACAGAAACAGAGAATAGAAAAGTGGTTGCCAGGAGCTGGGGGAGGTGGAGGTAAAAGGGTACAGACTTGCGGCTATAAGATGAATAAGGCTGAGGACCTAACATAAAACATGGTAACTATAGTTGATAACACTGTATTGTATAATCGAAATTTCCTGAGAACTTAAAAGGTTCAAATAAATAAATAATTGAGGTGATGGATGTGTTAATTAACTAGATGGGGGAAAATCCTTTCACATTATATACATGTATCAAATCACCACAATGTGCACTTTAAATATCTGACAATTTTATATGTCAATTTTACCTCAATAAGCTAAAATAAAAGAAAAAAAAAGAACAGGGCTATCTGACATTCAAGTTAATAATAATAATAATAATTACATACAAATTTTTATCTGTTCTCTTCTCCCTACACTCTCAATCTCTGCTCAGGCCTGTTCAGACTTCAGAATCTTCTTATAAAAGTTAATGAACCATTCATTTTGGCACACAGATCTCTGTTTTTGTCATCTTGCTCAAATTCTCTAATGTTCTATTCAGTTTACTAACTGAGTAGTCTAAAGTGAAAAGCATTACCCTTAAAAATAAAAATAAAAAAATTTTTAAAGCTATTTTCAATTCAAAATAAAAATCTAATCATCACTTGGGGTAACATTAAATATAAAGAAAGTGCATTTCAAATGAAATTTGTCTGATTTTAAAAGGCTTAGTTATTATCTCCTACCATTTGTAAAAACCCCTGGTTACATCTGAATATAAAAGCTCAAAGCACTCAGAACCAAGATGGATACTTTATTTTAGAAACTTTTGGTGTTTGGTGCATTTATTCAACACCAACTGACAAAAAGCACCCTGGAAGACATTTCCAATTGTCAGTGAACTGAAAAACGAAAAGTTGCTCCACAAATATAGTAAAAATTAATGTAATGAGTGAAGAAAGTAATGACACTTTCGAAAGAAGGCCAGCATCTTTGATTCAAATAACTTGACTCTACCCATCAATGGCCCATGTTCCAATGCTATCTCACAATACCAGGTAACCAATAGCTATCTAACTTCAAAATAATAGGTATGAAAAGAAAAAAAACAGTAGACTGATTAGAAAATAAAACCAAGGAGAAAAATAAATGGGTAATACAGATTTTTTTAAATATTTGAGGCCCACGAAGAAGTCAGTTACTACTAGTCTTCCTCCTCAATCTAAAACCTTTGTACGGGTCACTTTCAGTATAAATAGGGTAGTCAAGTAATTTAAGATACACATATTAGTAGCTACATTATCTGCATTCTAACAGAAACATTTTCAATCAGACGTAAAAAAAATTATAATGAAGTAGAAATTTCTTTTCACATTGAAATTTGGAGTTACCTGCTGGCAACGTAAATGTTACAAGGTCAGTCAGAAAATAGCAAGCAAAATCCCCCTTCCTCTGATGAAGAGAGGCAGCTATCTCTCGTCGGATTTGCTCTGTCAGTTCAGGACACACCATTGCTGGAATACACTTTGCTGCTTGTTGAGACACCTTAAATACAAAAGAAACTTTCCTCGGCATCTCGTTTATCATCAACAAAAGCAGAAAACAACAGGATTTAAAAGAAATTACTAAAATTTCCCAGTAACTCAAAGTGTTGTCTTTTTTTTTCAATTTTAAAATATACTGGGTATTGGGTATTATTTCCTCACCAGTGGAAGCATATATCAGTACAACTTTCCAGGAAAACAGCCATAAAAATGCTTTACCCTCTGACTCAGAAATTCTTCTTCTTAGGAATTTATCCCAAGGAAATACACAAAGATGCATATAAAAATGTATGTAAAATGGTGTTGTTCGCAAAGGTTCACGATAGAAGAGGGAGGGAGAACAGAAAACAACCTAAATAAGACTTAAGCATCATGCTCCCAATAAAAAACATTCTTAAAAAACAGGGAATTCCAGCTCAGCGAAAGAGGAAAGTAAAAACATTCTTCTCACGCTCTGTTAAGAATATTTCAAGTACTCTGGCTTGGAATAAAGAAAGCATGATATTTTTAAAGGGTTACTTCCACTGACCTCAAATCCCTCCCTATTTGTTACAACTCTGAATTTTTAAAAAAGCATTTGGCTTCTCCAAGTATAGAACAGACAACAAACCTTTGAAGCATAGCGTGATAGGAATGAAACATGAGCGCTGGTGTAGTGGGCACTACCATAGAGAACCTCTAAGCAAGGAAATGGCTAGAACTTTCCTTTTTAAATAATGAATAGCAACAAACAATGCAAAGATATTATCTTACATTTAAGTTGTATTCCATTTGTGGAGCTCAAGAAATCTGTGTACAGAGAATTCTAAAGTCAAAGGTGAGTATCTGCTAGAGAGGAAATGAGTCTGGTGTGAACCCTGAGTGAGCCAGTTAGCTCTGTTCTCTGAGACTTTCCTGGATGCAGGCTTCCAGTCACAAACAGGGTTTGGAGCAGCAGATCCTCCAATAAACCCTCTCAAAGAATAAGTTTTACTGATAATGTGATCTCATAATACAAGTAGACAACTTAACTGTAACTGCTACTAAGGTAAGTAAACAGTGTTTCAAAAACCCTGCATACCCAACACAACCATTAGACGTCCTATTCTGAAAACCCCTACATGAAAATCCAATTCTACTAAAGTTTACTGGCCAAGATTACCAGTAAGGATGTAATTCTCCCTACATCTTAACTCCATGAACTTAATCTTTAAGTGACACCAAATTATGGAAAACCAAATATTAAATATTTTCAGAATATAATTGACTATTTCTCAATTAACAGTGTGAAAATGGATCCCAAAAGTAAATTCAAAAATAGTTTATTTAAATCTGCTAGCCCTCAGCCTCTTTCCAAAAACTTGGGAAGATTTTTCCCAAAAATAACTTACACAGAAACCTGGATACTGCAAACACTCCAAGAGAAACCTTATAGCTGGTGAATGGCCTCCAAGCTTCCTCCTTCTGCCACCATCCTTAAGCCTGCCTCTCATCTTCTAGCCTCTTCAACCTTATGATTCTCAACCATCTCCCTTAGGCTAGTAGTTCTTAACTTAGGGCCCATGAACTTGGGAACGGTCTGTGAACCTGAATGGGAATTTTAATTAAATTTAAATTCTTCATTTTCACTAGCCTCTTGCCTATATTTAACATCCATTTTCTTATTTATCACAAATTTGATTTAATATTCTGATAACTATATTTTAATACAACTGATTTCCTCTGTAATCCTATTTATTTTTATTTTATGCATTTAAAAACCGTATTTTTTTTTTTTAAAGATTTTATTTATTTATTTTTTCCCTCCAAAGCCCCAGTAGATTGTTCTATGTCATAGCTGCACATCCTTCTAGTTGCTGTATGTGGGACGCAGCCTCAGCATGGCTGGAGAAGCGGTGCGTCGGTGCGCACCCGGGATCCGAACCCGGGCCGCCAGCAGCGGAGCGGGCGCACTTAACCACTAAGCCACAGGGCCGGCCCCGTAAAAACCGTATTTTGAAAAGGAGTCCATAGGTTCCACCAGACTACCAACAGAGTCCATGACCTAAAATCCAATTAAAACCCCTGTCCCAGCTACATATCCCCAGAATATAATGATCTCCTTTTCTCATTCCAAAAGTACTTGGCTCCGTGCTCTCTACAGACACATCTCTTAATCCGGACTCACGCTCTCCCCCTTTCCAGTCTCCCTATTGGCCCCTTCAATTCTGTCCTTTGGACTGCCTATCTATTGAGACTATATTCCATTACCAATTTTTTTCTTCCCCTAAACAATCCCTCCTTCCACCTCTCCCATGTTGTATCAGCGTTGATCTACACATTCTACAGAATGTGGCAAAAACGATGGTATGTCACTTCCTAAATTGGGCTATATATAAAAGACACTGCAGCTTCCATTTGGATCATTCTCTCTCCCTCTCTCGGATCACTTATTCTAGGTGAAACCAGCTGCCACGTCATGATCATCCCTATGGAGGGGCTCCCACGACAAGGATTTGAAACTTCTGCCCACATCCACGTGAGTGTGCTTAGAACCAGATTCTCTAGCCTCAGTCAAGCCTTTTGACAACTGCACCCCTGGCAAATTAACTGTAACCTCATGAGACCTTGAGCCAAAACCATTCAGCTAAGCTGCACCCTCACCCTCAGAAACTATGTGAGATAAGAAGTGTTTGTTATCTTAAGCTGCTGAATTTTGAGGTGATTTGTTACACAGCAGTAAATAAGAAATACACTGGGGTTCTACTATCTTCCCACTGTTAGTCCCCAGATTGCTCTTAGGAGGTTGGTGACTTAGGCCAGCCCCTCCAGAATCTTCTCATAGTCCTCTACCAGGTGAGGGGAACCTAAAGACTTGAGCTTTGGTTCACAGCTGCCTTCTCTATCCTGTCTCCTGCCATCACCAGCAACTTTAACTCTACATGCTGACCCTTCTGAATCCACAACACAACTGTAGCCACACCTCAGACACTACAGAAACTGCCTCTAACTGTCCCATCCCACACTGCAGAACTCTGGTCCCTCTAATCACAGTGCTGCTTTTCAGTTTCCTTCTCCCTTATACTGCCCTTTGTTTTCATCTCAGCTGTCTTTCAAGCCCTCCCCTTCATATGAGTCTACCAAATGCCCCTGACGTCACTGGACTCTTACGAAACCGAACACAATGGCTACCCATCTCAATGACACTTTCATCTAACCTTCATATTTCTTAATCACCCCCACGCCTAGTGCTTTGTTCACTATGGTTCCCAAATATTGGTGAATTTGAATATGCAAATATGCATAAGCACACACAGAAGATGTATACTGACAAAATTTGAATCCACAGCTGATCTGATTCTCTGCACTTTTACCTTATTTCTCTTATGATTAAAAAAATTGTCTGGATAATATAGTCGCATCCTGATAATTCATTTGCAACCTCTATCATTTGTAATATCTACTAGTTATCTAGGCCAGACACCTCAGAATCAACCTTGACTCCATCTCACCATTACTCCTCATATCCAATCTATCCACTTAATCCTGACTACATTGCCATCATCTCAAACCAGCCCACTTCTTTCCATTTCCATTGCCAGTACTGTACGGGCAGAGTTCTCGCCAGCATCACTGCAGTGCGCTCCTAACCAGACTTGCCCCTCTCCAATCCACAGCAGCCAAAACACACTCTGATCTCATCACTCCCCTGCCCCTCTACCTAACACTTTTCAAAGCCTTTTTACTGACCCCAGAATAATCTTCCAATTCTTTGGCCTAGAAGATCCTTCATAAGGCATCCCCTGCTTATCTCTCACACATCCCCTCTCAGTCCCAATCGCCTTCACAACCATGCTGAGTTACTCACAAGTTCCTGAATTCACCACAAATACCATCACCCTGGCCTCTGAATAAATGATTTCCTCAACTCCTTTCTCTCCTACACCAACTTTATGAGGCTAATTCCTACTCCTTCTTCAGATCTCAGCTACAATGATACCTACTCTAGATAAGATACCTCAAATCACTTTCTCAAGCTCTCCCACAGCCCCTCGCACTTACATCTATGAGAGCACACTGTGTACAGAATTACCTGTTTATTTCTCTACTTTTCGGGAGATTCACTGAAGGAGGAGCCAATGTCTTCACAATTATATCCCTTTTTAGCACACTGCCTAGCACTGTCAGTGAGTGAATAAATGAATTAATGAATGACAGATACATCTCAGCTTTTTTTAATCAAACATATGATTCACATATTGTGGCAAAACGTCCTGTTTTAAAAGCATAGACCCCTCAAAAATTATATACTGTTTAAGTCTCTTAAATTTAATATGACTTTTAAAAGGGGGTAGAACAATCTAAAACATTTAAGAACTGTTTGGAGAAACATTCTAACACCAAAAATGAAAACTAAAGAACACATTTCCTTCACATAAAAGAATGTTTAACCAAAATGCACACTCACCTCCGTAAGCAATATTGCCAGCATATCCTGCCTCTGAAAACGTATAGCCAGATGTACCAGAGTATAGCCAACATCAAAAGCAGAAGGACGGTTCAGCAAGCGCACTTCATCTGCAGTGAGCTGACGTGCAATGTCCCCTCCCGATGACTTGTATGCTTCTATAGCAGCTAAATCACCTTCTACAACCCCTAAAACAAGCATCAAGATAGAAAAGAGTTTAATTCTATTTTCCTTCAAAAAACATAAACCTGTAGCATTCACTCTAAGTGTTTCTCTGTGCTTCCTGGATCCTGGGGCATCATTTAAATGTCCTAAAGAAAATAAGAAAAATTAGGTATTCCTATCCCTTTAATTTCATTCCAGAACTAGAATTGCCTAGTTAGGTACTCACCTTCACCTCAGCGCTGGCTCCATGCTCTGGTGGGGTTTAAAGGAATTATTAGACTATATTAATTGGATCAAAGCTTGGTAATCTAGTATAAGAAACTAGACTTCACAGAAGACACTAAGCTCCTGTTCCGGTCCTGACTCTGCAGAAACCAAGGAGACAAGGAAGTGTTCCCATTGGCGGTGGGTTGCTTTTGCCCTTTACGCTGCATTTTTAAAGCTGAATCAAAACAAATGCTGAGTTCTTCCATGTTGCCGTTTAGCTCTGAAACAATTTAGAGCAATAAAAACCATTTTCAATGCAAGTAAAAGTTAGCAATATTTTGGTTTCAGAATCTCTCATAGCCAAGTCTTCTTTACATCCATTAAGAATTATTAATACAGCAAAACTTAAACCAGATGATTTCAAACAAAAATATGCTAAAAACATTACAAATCAGTTGGGGGGTGGAGAGAGAAAACAAGTATCACTTTTTCCAAATCCATAAAGAACTTTCCATTCCCACTGAACCACGTTACTACTCTTAACACAAATTAATGTTAGGCTAAGATAGTAATCCTATTTACTAAGCAGTATAGTACATCTATGGATAATAAACAAATAGCCTTGGCAAAAAATGAAGGTGTAGGTTAGCTTCAAATTTACCAGAAATAGTGTTAAAACACACACACCCCCCTCAAGACTGTAGGACCAAATAATTTTAAGTGTTTCCTAAGTTACATCAGGAAAAATTTGTTTGTAGGGTAAAATTCTAATACTAGCTAAAAATACTCAAGTGCACTTTAAAAAAAAGTATTTTTAATTGCCTTTTTAAATTAGGAATTAGATAAATAAGAGCTATTCCTTAGAGTATAACAGATTAGTACAATGCAACAATTTCCCCCAGTTATTAAAAATAACAGAAGCTTTAAAATAATTTAATTCCCATATTCACTGAATACCCATGACATGCATATCACTACACTAGGCAATGTGAAAAACACAAAGAGAGTAAAAACATGAGCCCTATACTCAAAACAGTCCTTTTTCATCACATTTGTAAGCCATAAAAGGCCACTCTTACAAATGAGCCTTGGTTCACAGCTGCAAAAGTTTTCAACCTCTGGGGTCAAAGATCCTTTCTGCAAATCTAGATCCTCTCCCCAGAAAAATGATCCCCTGCCCTAGACACATACACTTTTCCAGGTTAAGAATCCATGGTATCAAATGAGAATACCTTCTTATAGGAATTTTTATTTCCACAGCAATGTAGGTTAATACTTTCCTCAATATAAATATAAATAACTAAGTAACCCCCACCTCCAACACATAAAGGGCTTCAAAACACCTTTACAAGCCCTGGATAAGTCATCAAGGCTAAAACGTAATACGGCTGGCATGAGACAAGGAGGATCAATCTTCTCAAAAGGACAAGCCTTAAGAATAGACACAGAAAAGTATTACTTAAAATAAAAACAAATCTATGGCTAAAGAGTCAAGTACATCAAGACCTCTAAAATTTCTGCTTAACTTGTTTTAATGAACAGATGAGAATCTAGTAGGGCTCATAACTTTTCGAATAATTTAAACGTAGTTTATTTTTTTAGAACTGAAATGCACTACTCCATTCCCTTTTGTGTATATAGTATTTCCTTATGAAGGCAACTACTTTTCACTTCAGCCCTATCAAAGCTAAACTTTTTCCAGGTGCATGCAGTATCACTGCACCCTTTACAGTTTTTAGCTTTAACTTAAAAAATATATACTTACAAAATTTCTGTGTATGACATAAGAAATGTTCTAAGCACTTCCAAAAGCAAACGAAGGACCAAAAAGTCTAATTAAGTTACCTGAAAAGATCAAGAGGAAGACCTGCACAGTGTATGTACATGTAGGTGTATGTGTGTGTTTTTTGTTTCCCAAAGACAAAGATGAGGTGATCTAAAGCTAAACACCAACTAACTCTGTTCTTTTGGTTGGAGAAAGAAGGGATCTTCCAAATCACTGTTTTCACTATTTTTAGCTAACTCACCACATAGCTGACGTCTGGAAGAATCTCATCTTAGAAATTCTTGCTTAAGAATTCATTTCCTAATGTTTCTGAGGGATTTCTGTAATTAGAAACTAATTAGCACAATCAAAGCGGGGAGGGGTACAGACCAAACAGCACAACAAAGTTAGCAAACTGTGCTTTGGAATTAGGATTTACAATGTTACCCAGTCTGCCTTCAAATTAAGTCTTTTTTAAGAAAACAGAACTTCAAATGGTGAGTTGCATGGTATGTGAATTATATCTCAGTAAAGCTGATATACACACACATACACACACAAACACACACACATAGGATTTCTATTTAACCTAACCCAAAACACCAAAAACACTTAATTACCTCCCCCACCCCAAGCCCTGCGTTAAACTGCAGACAGGGGACGCTGTCCGCTCCCTAGCATGGAATAAATACAGCAGGGTAGAAAATGAGGATGAACAGAATCGAGATGATGTTCTCTATTCTTCACAGCATAAAATTCTCCAAACTTTCCAGAACATGAAAAACATAAAGTATAGGCACAAAGTAGTATTTAAATAAAAATACTTCACTGTCTAATGTTTTGGGAATATATAATTCCATTCTTTTCATTAACTATAATTAAGAGCTCACAGTTTCAGTTACTGGTGAGTTTTCAGCTACAAAAATGAGTAAATTTAATTACAAATCAAATTTCATAAGAATGTCACTGAACTGCCCAAATTTTTGGTATTATCTTCTTTACACATTGCTTAAGGAGAGCTATTGATTAAAGTTTAGACAGTTTCTTGACAGACGGGTTTTCATTGTAAACATAGGGTTTAAAAGAATTTGGCCCATACTCAGAGAGTTTAGAGTTTTTAGCCACCACGTGTTTTCTACTTAGGAGTAAAAAATGCATCAGATTATATGTAAAACAACTTACAAAATGTCTTTGAGTTCTTCACATAACAATACATTTTACCACCTTTTAATATTAGAGGATAAAAGAAAAGTAGGAAGAAAGTAGAAGAGTTGGTAAGTAGGAAAAGAGAGCAAATATAAATGTAAGGGGTAATATCTCACTTAATGCAACAAAGACCAGGAAAAAACAAAAGATCCAGCAGAAGAGAAAGAGGTGATATACATGTGCTTTCTAGGTTAATGACATCTCACAAACCCTCCAAGAATCACTGAAGCATCTTTCTCCTCATACATTTTTTTGAAAATTTACGTGTATTACACGTTCTGACCCTTCCTCCTCCATGCTATGAAGGCAAACTAAAAGGACAGCAGAAGGTACTCTGAGAAGGCGAACTTTATAAAACTAACCTGCAGTATCACCATACATTGAAATACACAACTAGCTAAGTAGTGGTGCATAATCAGATAAAGGAAAAGTGTTAACATACTTTAAAAAACATGAAGACCTACAAGAAAATGAAAGCTACTATATTATATATTACAAACTACAAAGTTGAAAAAAAAAAAAAAAAGGCTCATATTGTTCTGTAAGCTGGGCCAGAAGTAGAATGTAACGTATTTTGAAGCCACAGGTCACAACTCACCGGGGACTTCACAGCTACTATGGAACTCCGTTGGTTAGAATATGGAGCTGGCTCATAGATGTTTAGAAAACAGACTTATTTTTTTCCCCCATATATGGCACAGTTTTCAAAGTTTTGCCTTATTTTCTTTTATGACATAAGATCATAATGGGAACTAACTTTGAAAAGAATGCCAAATGGTAAAAAAAAAGCCAGGACTTACCTGAGCCCACATGGGCCAGCTCAACACTACCCTGGAGTTCTATGGTAGCTGTGACATCACAGCATGGTTTATGCTGTGGGGTCAGGGTGGACTTGGAGTCAGCTGGCACAATTTCAGGAACCCTTAAAGAGAAAAGTTAGTTTTAAGTGGTAATGTTCAGAATCCTTTACCAGGGTCAGTAGAAAGATGCAGATGTGGCTGGCTACGATGTCTGGGTAGTTTCCCTCTACCCAGAGTTTAATTCATTTAACTGGTTTTGCATAAAACTATACCACCCAGTAATACTTTTTCTTTATACTCTTAACAATTTCGCTATAGTTCAATCACTAACTTGGCTTAGACATTCACAGCAATCTCTTTCAATACTCAAGCATGAGCTGCTTTTTAAATAAAATTGACTTCAATATTTTTAAGCGTATCTTTAAGTAGGCACAAGCCCAGTGGCAATCCTAAAAATAGTAACACCAAACAAATCACTTCCTAGATGCATTTTCACATAATAACCAACGGGAACAAGTTAAAATTTACCATTTCTATTCCTAGAATAGTGCTATAGAACAATAACCTTTCAAAAAAACCAAAAGAGGGTCGGCCCCGTGGCTTAGCGGTTAAGTGCATGCGCTCTGCTGCTGGCGGCCCGGGTTCGGATCCCGGGCGCGCACCACTTCTCCGGCCATGCTGGGGCCGCGTCCCACATACAGCAACTGGAAGGATGTGCAGCTATGACATACAACTATCTACTGGGGCTTTGGGGGGAAAAAATAAATAAATAAAATCTTTAAAAAAAAAAAAAAAACCAAAAGAGGTAAAAATCACAAATCAGAAATAAATTCTTAAATTTAATCTAATTTACACTACATCAAGATAAGCTTCTATTAATTCATTCAATAAATTCACTTCATTATGAAAACATCCTCTTCAGAAAAATAAAAGATTCAACGATAGGGAAGTCAAAATAATCTCTAATTAAGGCCTTTAAATGTTCTGTTATTAATCATGACAAACTATGCCAAATATAGTTTATACTTTGGCGCTCTTACCTCCT